TGACTTCACTTGTTCAATAAAATACCTATTCTTCTGATCCCTTGTGTGGAGCATTAGTGTGCGTCCCAGATCCCGGATTGCCGTTTCCGATAACGGAACAATGGCTCTTATATCCATAGTGTCCAATCTTTCTGCAACTAAAGAGAACAGGTATATTGAAATGAGATGTTCCGGTAACTCTAGATTGGGCGGCATTCTTCCTGAAATGAGTTAGATACTACTGAAACTTTCCTCCATACACGAACGGGCGGGTTTTAAATTGCAGGGTAAAAAGAAACTGAGGGTAACCCCTCCCGATGAACACCATTCATTTTGATTAACTTCACTGCGAGACTGCCTATGTTTGGGTTGGGTTGTGTTGGCCCAGCGGTTTACGTCACCATCACTGCCGTGGTCCGGGCCCTGAGTTTTTATGGGCTCCACTCTGCAACCACCACCCAACCTTGATAGTAGACAATTTTGCTGTCGTTCAGCTCAATACCACGCCATCTTATCGGGGCCGTATGCCGTTCTCTATTCCAAGTTCTCAGGTTTCAGTTGCTGGTGTGAGATGCTTGGCTCGTGTGTGCAGCAGGATGTCCCCCGTGAACGGATACACCAGACTACCGCAAGTGGGCCAAGTCTAGGTATGGGCTGGAACCGTCGACAGACCGCAGTTTCTCCGTGGAGAGGGCGAACTGACAATCTGAAAGAGAGGAAAATGCAGACACCATGAACCAAAAGGTTCAGTGAGACATGAAGACGACTCACACTCAAACGTAATGGCAAGTTGGCAAGGTCGTTACACTGGTTAGCATAACCAAAACAGCGGTCTTCGTGACTATCGGGTTCATATCTCCTACTATTTATCATACATCGGTTAGTAATGAGAATGAGCTCCAGGACCATTGAGGTTTTGTATAGCATTTTAATGATCCAGCTGGTGTTTACTGCTGTAGCAACGTTTCAGGACTGAATTGCACCACTGGCCAGCGTCCTTTCCCAAGTTAAAATATCCCCGTTTAGAACAAAGAAAAAAATGAGGTTCGCAATCAACTTAAGAAACAGACAATTTTTGCTCTTGACACGTTTAAATGTATTTCCGTTTGAAGCTGATCGTTTCTCCCCACTTTGGGGTTCTTTTGACCGCCTCACAGAGGATAGGTCTTCAAACAATACCGATAGGTAATGCAGGTCCCCATTCAAAGGACATTACATGCGATACAACCTTGCTGTCCTCCGGTTCAATACCTAGTGGGGCCTAGAGTAATTCGCCACTCCCGCCTGATGTTCATTACACAAAAATGTGCCTAATAAAAATGCGTTATTATCTTTTCCACGAAGTATTTAGGCTTTCGGCTAATTGACCTCTACTTAAACTTACAGCACAAACACTATCCATGGGATCGCTGTTGTCCGGTTATTATCGTTATTTTATCAGACGGATGTTAAAAGTCTGGATCAAAGTGACCGAGAAGTTGGCCAGTCAAGTATTCAACCTATGTTACTCGTAAACATTCTTCGCTTTTGGTTTGGGGGCATGATAGCTCTACTGTACAGTCGAGAATCAAATGAATCCGCGATTAAAGGGCGCTCGGCACATACCGAATCCTTTAACTGAAGCAAAATACGAGCTATATTTTTTTCTAGTCCAGCGTTCTGTTTCGGTGCTATCGTGAATTGGATGCTTTGTTCAGGCAACAGTTTTCACTCACTCCAAATAGCTGGCCCTTTTTGGGATCACCGGTACTACAGCTTTGGGTTACATTCTTGGACTGTATAAAATAATCTTCAAGTCGCTCGTCGCCTGAGATATTCCTGCATGGCCCACGCTTTACCTTGATCAAATTTTCTGTTGGAGTCAGTTAGCTATGGACAGTTAACATGTAAATCTAATTTTGCGAGCTTGATCATAGCTCCCGGTGATAGCATTGAATGAGCAACAACAGAAGGTCCTATCCTAAACTGAGGTGCGTACAGCCTCGTCGAAAATGTTTACTCTTACTGAAAATGCAGATGTGCATTAGCACAACACAGCGCATTTTTGTACATCGGAAACTCCCCCATTTCCCATAATGGATCCTTGGTATCCTTTTCTCATCACTGCCTTACGTGAACCGCTAATCCGGATGTCTTCAATACGCGGAAACAAGGTATAACAGGCGGCTGTGGTCAAGCATTATTGCTCACCTTCGCATCTCCCCAAAAGTTGTGTATTCCAACCACATCAACATCATCGCCGCCTAAATTCAACCATTTCATTGTATCAAATGGCGGCCTTTTTGAGAACCCTTATCGTTCTACTGCTTAGTGGCTGGACATCCTGGCTGTACGTGTCCATCAAACCCCAGTGCATATGCATTGCGATCAGTGAAGTTCACTTCTCTGTATTTTGCTGTACGATAATGATGTTGATGATCGACTACTCTGTCCTCCCTCAAAATTGCTTGCTCAGTTATGTGTTTGACAAACGAAAGGGAACAATAGAGGATAATTGGTGCACACTAATCGTCTTGTTTGTATTTGAATAGTGCTCCGTCTAAGGTACACCACAGAGGAATTT